CCCCTCTGATATCCCATCACCGATGATGTTGAAATTTACTGTTAAAATATTATCTAAATAAAATTAGAAAAATTAAAAGTTAGAAAGAATACGAGAATAAGTTGGCTTTACATGGAAAAGAACCATTACTTTCAGCTTTTTTCAATTTATTTTTTTCTTCTTAATATTCTGTAATAAGTATTTATTTATTTATTTATGCCTTCCCTTTTTAATACTTTATTTGTGGATTATTGTTTATTTATTCGTGAGGTCTCAGAAGGGCATCAATTCTCCCACTAAGGCATGGCATGGATATTCTATTAGTGCATGAACTTGAATTTATTTTTATTTTTATTTTTATTTTATTTTATTTATTTTTTATTTTTTGCTGGTTATGTTTGACTGTATTTGTTAGTTAAATGTCATTTTTAGTACGGATGTATTTGTTTATTCCAAGGAATGAATTTAAATGATTCTACAAAAGACTTGTAAAAATGCCATTTTTAAAAAAATAAAATATTGTAAAATAAATAAATAAATAATATATTTATATATACATATAATATAATAATTATGTAAAATTCAAGGGCACTTTAAACTTTTAATCCATCCTATGAAATTCATGCCAACAGAAAAAACCTGGTTCCGCTACTGAATTCGACCTTCTGATTTTAATTAATCGAAAATTTATTTGCAAAAAATAAATAAATAATTGCAAAAATATATTTGCAAAAATAAATAAATAAATAAATAAGCAGCAACCAGGTGAAAAAGAAAACAGTATAATATAATAGAAAGCAACTAAACAATTGCTGCAGGACAAAGAACTGACTGACATGCACACAATGTAAGAATCCCATCTTACATTTTTAAATAAAAATTAAAATAAATAAATAAAAGTAATCTAATTAAAATACAGTTAAAGTGTTAAAAAAAAGGTGGGGAGCACTATCATTGTCTAGCAAAGAAGAGAATAATTTTACACGAACACACAAAATAAAAATTTAAAAAAAAAACATTATATTATTCTCCAAAATACCAAATATTTGTCTAAGTTCTTTGGACTGATCAAAACCCTAGAATATTAATTATTTACCTCACGTTCAGTTTAAGCTTTTAGATGAAGTGGTCATTCGACCCTGTATCAGACACACGTCAAACTTAGAAACCGTGTCTTCGGATCGAACGAGTGAGAGTGAGAGAGAGAGAGAGATGGGACTTTATACTTAATAGAAAAAGAATTAAGATGTAATCACTAATCAAGAAGAGATTAATTAAGTATATAAATAAGTGATCTAGATTAGTGTGAATAAGTTGTTTAAGAGAGGTGGGATCCCACAAGAGAGAGGCAAAAGCCCTACATCACATACACTTTATTACATAACTCCAAGAGAGAGAGAGAGAGAGAGAGATCCTTTTTGTTTTGAGTTTTTGCTTATATATATATATTTGTATCAACTACTTGGTTTGCAAACCATTTGTAGTCACTCACTACAACAAGAAAAAATCTAAATCAGTTTTTTTTTTTTTTTTTTTTTTTATAGTACACATCACTTAAACTTGGCCATGCCCCCTCTTTGTTCGGTTGCTCCGAAACCGGAAAACGATGGCACCGAACTGGCGTCGTCGGTTCCGCCTATTCGGCCGGAGGTTTGTGACAACACAGCCTATCGATCCCACATCGTACAGAACAGTTCTCACGCCTTTCTACAACGGTCTTTGTTCCCCGTAACTTTAAAGGTCTCTCTCTCTCTCTCTCTCTCTCTCTCTCTCTCTCTCTAATGCAATCTCTCTCTCTCTCTAACAACAATACTATCATCGTTTTCAGTTCGAGGAGATTGTCTACAAGGTAAACTACGAAACGAAAGGAGCACAAAACTCGAAAGAGAAAACCATACTCAACGGTATCACGGGCATGGTTTCCCCCGGAGAGATACTAGCCATGCTAGGCCCCTCCGGGAGCGGCAAAACCACCCTCCTCACTGCCCTAGGCGGCCGCCGCCTCTCCGGCAAGTTCTCCGGCAAGATCACCTACAACGACCGCCCCTTCTCCGGCTCCACTATCTAGTTGCTTATGAGCACTCATCAGAACGACGTCCTATACCCGCACCTAACCGTTTTCGAAACCCTCCTATTCACGCCCTACTAAGGCTCCCCAAAAACCTACCCAAAGAAGAGAAAACACGCCACGTGGAAAATATAATCTCGGAGCTCGGCCTCGACAGGTGTCGGACAAGCATGATAGGCGGGCCCCTCTTCCGAGGGGTATCGGGCGGGGAGAAGAAGAGGGTTAGCATAGGGCAAGAAATGCTGATAAACCCGAGCTTGTTGCTGCTCGACGAGCCCACGTCGGGCCTTGATTCCACCACAGCTCTGAGAATCTTGAACACGGTCAAGGGTTTGGCGGCCGGTGGCAGGACCGTAATTACCACCATCCATCAGCCCTCGAGCCGGCTCTACCATATGTTCGACAAGGTCGTTCTGCTGTCCGAAGGCTGCCCGATTTACTATGGCCTTGCATCGACCGCCTTGGAGTACTTCTCGTCCGTTGGATTTTCGACTTCCGTTACTGTCAACCCTGCTGATCTTCTGCTCGATCTTGCGAACGGTACATTTTACTTTTTTACCCCTGATAACAGAGAAATGTCACTAGAGCACTATAATTGAGACTGTGTTATATATATACTACCAGGTATTGGACCTGATTCCCATCAAGGTACAACCGACAGCAGCAGCGACGACAATGTACAACAAGATCCAGCGTCGGTTAGAGAATTTCTCGTCTCGGCATACGACAAGAACATTGCCACGAGGCTGAAAACAGAGCTATGCAGTTCAGATGTTAGCAGCTATAGTTACACAAAAGAATCAGCCACAAGTAAGTTTAATTTCTTTCAAATTATCTCCCTCTATTGGGAAAGATGCGTTTGTTTCGTCCCTTAAGTTTACCTCGATTTCCCTTTTGGTCCCTCGAGTTTCAACAAATTAACACTTTTGGTCAGTTCTGTCAATTTTGCCGTCACTGTCGTCACTGACGAACTAATGCTAAACTGACAGAAATGACCAGAAGCGTTACATTGTTGAAACATGAGGGACTGAGTATGTTTTTTTTAGAACAAGAGGGACCAGATGTTAAATCGAGGTAGACTTGAAGGACGAAAAGTAACAAAAAAAAATCTAATTTTTCACAAATGGTGCAGGAAATGATGCGAAATCAAGAAAATGGTGCACAACATGGTGGCATCAATTCAAGATCCTACTTTTACGTGGCTTACGCGAACGAAGATTCGAAGCCTTCAACCGACTAAGAATCTTCCAAGTCCTTAGTGTGGCAATACTCGGTGGGCTTCTATGGTGGCACACTCCTTCGTCCCACATCGACGACCGCGTAAGCCTCTTTCGAAGAAGAAAACGTAACCCTTTTTTTTTTCCGCATTAGCAAACTAATCGCGACATAAAATCGTGCAGATTGCAATGCTATTCTTTTTCTCCGTTTTTTGGGGATTCTACCCACTATACAACGCCGTTTTCACTTTCCCGCAAGAAAGGAATATGCTGATCAAGGAAAGATCTTCCGGAATGTACCGCCTCTCGTCGTACTTTCTAGCAAGAACGGTCGGAGATCTTCCGTTAGAGCTTGCCCTGCCCACGGCGTTCACGTTCATCTTCTATTGGATGGGCGGACTTAAGGCGGACCCCATCACTTTCATCCTCTCTCTCCTAATCGTCCTATTCAGCGTCCTCGTTTCCCAAGGCCTCGGATTGGCTTTCGGGGCTATACTAATGGACGTGAAACAAGCAGCCACGCTAGCCTCTGTGACAACTATGGTGTTCCTCATCGCGGGAGGATACTACGTACGGCATATTCCCCCGTTTATATCGTGGCTTAAGTATCTGAGCTATAGCTACTATTGCTATAGGCTTCTACTCGGAGTTCAATACAACGAGGATGACTTCTACGAGTGCGAAAAGGGAGTTTATTGCAGGGTGGCGGATTATCCGGCGATAAAAGCGGTCGGTTTGAGCGATTTGTGGGTCGACGTGTCTATTATGATGGTCATGCTCGTCGGCTATCGGCTTATCGCGTACTTAGCTCTACAAAGGGTGAGATGAAGGAATGGATAACGAGTTTCGCCCGTTTTTACGCAGCTTAGCAATAATGTTTAGTTTTAGGCATCTAAAAATTTAATGTTAGTAAACCGACTTCTTGCATTATCGTTATGACAAGTATAACCGAAAAAAAAGTAATCGGTTAATTCGTAACTAAGAGAAATCGAGCTTAACGGAAACAGAAAATCGGGGCCCGGGATCATAGAATAGATTTTTTTTTAAAACTGTCCAACTGAAGCTAAAAAAAGAAAGTGATGCACTTAGGGAGTGGAGTTCTTGAGAAAAGGACATCCTTGTCATTTTTCTAATTGATGCATTGTAGTGCAGTGGCCACCATTCAAACAATATTTCAAGAAAGAGTAGAAAATGACAAGCATGTATGGGTCAAATTACAAGAATGCCCTTTTAACCTTTGTGGCAGATTCTTTTTGGCAAATTTGACAGTAGAGAGCCCTAATTGCCAAATTCCAACTATGATTTGGGATTTCTTCGAGTGTCAATTTTGGATCAAGATTTAGGTTTTGTTGGGCTTGTCACATTTATATTTTTCTCGGTATGAATTTATCGAATTAAAATTGGCTTAATTCGACTTTATACCCTAGAAATGTAGGATTTTATCATTTTGCACCATTGAAAAAAATGAATAGCATTTTGCACTATCGAAACCTGATAAATCACTCAAAATGCACCAGGAATTAAATGTTTAAAAATTAATTAGGGAATTTTCAATTTTTATTGGGTTTTTTTTTTCTCAGGTCCAAAATAATAAATTTAATTGTTGTTTTATACTACCCAATCTAATTTCAAGCGTCAAAAGTGCGATAATAAAACAAAATCGCACTGAAATACCGAAATAAAATAAAGGGTAAATTACACCCTCACCCATAAGCTATGCTAAACAATTTTAAGGTCTCTATGGTATCGACAATTACACTCACTCTCCTAAAACATAGTTAGAAACTCTAATGTGATAATGCATTGAATACATTATTCCGATAAAATTTTAATGGGGTATTAGTTTCAGGAACTGGTGGAGACAACAAAGAGCTATGAGCGATTTAAGAAATGTTGGGGGAGTCATGTCACCCCCTAACTCTATGTTGTCTCCACCACTAGCTGAAAGTAATAGTCCGTCAGAACTTTATCGGAATAACATATCCAATGCATTATTCCATTAGAGTTTCTAACTGTGTTTCAGGAGGTGAGTGTAATTATCGATACCACAGGGACCTTAAAGTTATTTTAGCATATCTTATAGGTGTGGGTGTAATTTACCTAAAATGAAATAAGGTCCGGATCCGGTATTTTGGGGCAAGCCTGACCCGAACATAACCCGACCCGGAAGCAACCCTACGCGACCCACCCATCCACCCACTCCGAAAATGGCTCTTCTCTCTCCTCATCCTCTGATCTTCCAAATTCCATCCTGCTGTTAAATCAACGGCTCAGGTTCACCGACGTCTTCCATCTCAGATCGCCGGCGATGATTGATCCCTACCGCCACAGTTCATCTACATATGCTCTGATCTTTAACCCTCATCCTTTCATTTGTTAAAATATTCAAAAGTTATTGTCCTTCTGTAATTACTATGGCTTCTGACGACGAAGATGAATCCCTGGCGCATTTCCTTGAATCGGAAGTCCTCTCCGAACTCTCCGATCAGGTATTTACATTTTCCTATTTTCCTTGAATCGGATTTGTTTTTTTTTTTTGATTTATTTTATTTGCTCGAGTATTTATGTATTTAATTATTTGGCAATTGAGATGATTATTATTGATGGATTTTAGTTGGATTTTGATGGGTTTTGGAATGAAATTTGTTATTTTAGGTTTTGTGGTTTTAGGTCTCGTTTGGTTGGGGAGATTAGTCGTGATTAACTAAGTAATTGGACTTTGTTTGATGTTTGGCCTCCCAAAAAACTTGCTGCAAATATTATGTTATTATGGCTTTTCTCGCTTTGTAGGCATGTTTTTTATTCGATCGTCGAAGATCTGATAATGTAATTGGGTTTCATTAGAGTATTTAATCTTATCTTGACTAATTTTATCTTGGCAACCATACGAGGCCTTAGATGTTTATGTGATATGTGAAAAAAGGACAATTTTTTGGGGCTCAAATTTATTTTATTACATCCAAGAATCGGTTGTGTCAGCTGACGTTGTAAATTCCTAGTTTAGTCGTGATATAAGCTACCTATGAACACATACAAATTGTTTGTACATGCAAGTAACTCTTGGATATCGTGTTGCACGGAAATTTGTACACACAGGAAGAAGAAAATAAGAGCGAGGAAGAGAAATATGGGAAAAGGTCGCGTCCTGAAGAGGGTGAGTTAAGTGAACAAGAAGAGAAGGAACAACAAGAAGCAAAGAAAATTAGAATCGAAAAAGGTAAAATTAGTGACGAAGGATTATCGAGGGCGGTGAGGTCGTCGTCTTCTTTGTCGTCTGTTGAGCTCGAACTTGAAGTTGAAGCTGTACAGTCGCCTTTGAAGAGAAAGGGTATTATTGTCATTAGCAACAATAATGATAATGCGAGGGTTGGTTCCGGAAGTAGACAGTTCCCTAAGAGGATCGAGACAGGGATGTTCAGTCAGATCCCTCCCGAATTGTTGTTTCACATCCTTAAATTTCTGTCTTCCGAGGTATCAAGATTTTGAACAAAAAATAAATTAAAAAAATCCCAATTTTGTTTTCTTGACGAGTGGTTATTTATTGACATGATTTATAAATTTATAAATTTCTTGTGATTGAAATGAAATGCAGGATCTTGTTTCTTGCTCGTTGGTTTGTAGGTTTCTAAGTTTTGCTGCTGCAGATGAATCGTTATGGCGGCGCTTGTTAGTACTTTTTCCCAATACACCCTTATCTATATGTTATATGTTAATGCTAGAAACTTGAAAATTATGTACTTTAACGTATTTTTCGTATGTGCACTTTTGGATGAGGAAATTTATAGTTTACTCTTGTTGTAGATATTGCATGCGGTGGGGTATAATGCCTCCTAAAAGTCCACGAGAATCTGCGTGGAAGAAGCTTTACATCAAGGTAATTTTGTAAATAAAGCTTTAAAAATGTCGAATCGAATGTCGCCTTCGTTTTCCTTTATTTAGTATCTTGCATTGTCCAATATGTGTCTCGTGTTTTTGTTTTTCTATGTGTTTGTATTAGTGAAAGAAAAGATCTAGTTGACTAGTTCCGAGTTGACTTTTTGTGATCCGTTTATTTTTTATTTTTCATTAGATTAATTTGAAGATTTAAATTTGAGATCGTGTTATTTACAGCGCGATGAAGAAGATATGTCGGAGTTTGTGCGTACTTGCCCCTCCGAATTCAAAGAATATTACATCCAAATGCAGATGGCAAAGAGAAGCCAAACACCACTTCCTTCTCAGGTAAAAAAAAAGAACCACAAGTAACTAATTGATCAAAATCTTGATTTCTTGACATATTTCTACTTCGTATTTCGCTTCGAAAATTTAGTTTCGAATTTCAAGAAGCAGGGTTTGGCTTGACTAGTATTTTTAATCGATATTAAGGTGAATGATGACCGTATAATTCTCGACAAGACACTTGCGGATCAAGTCTATATGTGGAAAAGTAGCAAAGGCCTCACAGATACAATGGTAGTTAATCATGCATGTTCTGGTGAAAGTTGTACTTACTATCAAATCGGAGATGTATTTGTCTGCGAGAAAACCGGAAATGTTCATGGTGAGTGTCGAGTATTATGTGCAATATTTATATATATATATATATATATATATATATATATATATATATATATATATATATATATATATATATATATATATATACAAAATTCGGAAAAAAAAATAATGATTTTTGTTTTGTGCAGTTTGTGACGATGCATGCAAAGAAATTATTATGGACCCCACAGACGAACTCTTGGTCTGCACTATCTCAGGCCGTTGTTTCGATAGATTACTCTCGGCAGCTGAAATGGAACCAGATACTGTAATTTTCTCTTACCGACTCGTAAATATTACTCTCTATTTGCATGTCTTCCATGTGGCAAGCCATGATTGGTTGTTTTTTATTTATTTATTTAATTTTTTTCCCCATCATGTTGCTTCCTTTTGTTTGATGAGCTGTCTAAAGTAAGCCATGACCACAAATTAATAAGTAAATAATGTTAAAAAATACTTCACCCGAATTTATTGCATGCACATATACTAGGGTTTTTTTTCGTTAAAATTTGGAATTGTTTCTTAGTGTGTGTCGGATTAAACTACAGGATCTGCAGCAGCAAGTTGGTGCACCCGATGAAGCAGAGCCTTTCATGGGATCTGGGCGTTTTGGTATGAACTATTTACTTGTCTTATTAATCGGGATTTTTTTTATTTTTTTTAATTGATTATACTTGTGTGCTTATTACGTAACAGCTAGGGCATATTTACTCGGATATAATTGCGACGACGAGAAAGAACTTGAAGCTGCTTTAAGGTTTTGTTGATCTATTACAATTTTGTATAGTATGATGTTTACCGACATCTCGCAACCTGCGAAGAAACACTTCGATATTGTTTTTCTGCAAGTTTTGACTCATATAACACTAGTTTTATAAATTAGTCGAATTTTATGCCTTAATTTGTACTTTGAATCAATCATATAAAAATGTTGTAATTTTCTTGCCTATTTATATCTTTGGTAGTAAGTTATGTCCAAGTATTTGTTAAGATTATGATTTTGTTTTTGATTATTGGCTACCCAAGATCGACGGTCAAGATGAAAGTTCAGAAGCTTCTCCATTAAATCGGACTTTAGCGAGTGAGTGAACTGACACCAAGATTGTGCCGCGAAACTGTATTCGACGAATGTGTATAGATTGTGACTGCATCCGTACTTAAGGTGAAAACCATTTGTCTCTCTATAATTAGTTGGGAAAATTTTAATAGTTAAGTAATATATAAAAAAAAAAATAATAATAATAATAATAATAATAATAATAATAATTAGTATTATTATTATTATTATTATATTTATATGTTCTAATTAAGATTTTTTTAACTTCACTCCCAAAATGGAAGAAACTTCAAATACCCTAAAATGGTTATGTTGACTTTTTCCTAGTGCTGAAATGGGCCAATTTGGATATCCAATTTAGTCACGCCCCAATTATACCCACCTTATTGTTGAACAAAAAATCAAAATAAGTGGGTAATCCTTTATTTATTTTTTATTATTATTTTTTTTAATAAAAAATTGAACTTTAATAGTTATAGTAAACCTCT